AAAACAGTGTGGGATAAAACTGATGACCTTACTTGGATAGAGCAAGCGTTGGTAAAACACAGACATTGGAAATAATTCTCAGAAATAAAAATGTTATTTTGGAGATGTAGAAGTCTTGATATAAAAGGGAAGAAGTGGCAGGTGAATGGTTGCTGGATATGGAGCAAACATGAAAGGATATAAGCAAAAAGTATCTGTGAAGGGGAAAAGATGGAGAGTGAGGTGGTCCTGATGCATTTAGCAAGTTTGGTTTGTAGGATTAATGAAGTGATATTGCATTAGGGCAGTTTCCTTTTTTGTTGCTTTTTCTGTGTAGAAAACCTGAAAAAAAAATTGAAGGGGAAATTTCTTACTCTCCTTTTTCCTCTTTTATTCCAAAAGCTGTTTCTACATGGGAATGAAAGACATTTAAAAGTGTATTTAGTTCCTCTATTGCAAACTTGTTTCTTGTAATTTTAAGCTAACTTGAAAATCTGTATTTTGACCAATTAAGCTTTTAACATAGTTTACATTTGTTTGGCATCAAACTGAAGTAAACTAGTTGTGTCTTCCTAAAAAAACCCAAAAAAAACACCCCACCTCTCATGTTAGAAAGGACTATTCTGACTATTGCAAGTTTTTCTAAAATATTTCTGTCTGTATCAGAAATCGTTGTAAGCTCTTGAACTTTGTTAAAGAACTAATTAGTTTTGAGTGTTTGAAGAAGTCTGGGGTTATTTCAAGACATGGTGTTCAAAGCTGATTGTTATCAGAAGGCATCAAGCAAAACAAAAAAAGCCTTCAGAGAACTGATGAAAAATCGCTTCTCAAGTACATCTTTCATTTTGACTTTTGCAATGCCATCGCCTTACTGAATGTCTAGCTGAGAAGATAGGGCTTGGACTTCTAATTTTGGAAGGAGGCTCAACAAACAATCTTATTTCCCCTTCTTGTGCTAAAATGGGGAGCAGAAGTGTCTGTGGTTTGGTACTGAAAGTGTTTTGGGAGATGCATTGCCAATGTAAAATTTCAGTAAAAATTTGAAAGCGGAGAGACCAACCTTTTAGTATGATAATCAAATTGCTGTGTGGGGATTCAGGCTGAATAACTCAACTTTAATTTATCCTTGGGTTTAAATAAATATATTAGCAGTGATCTGATACCAATTTGTTGCTGGTTTACTCTGTAGCAAAGTAATTTGATTTTGCATGTGGTTCTGTCTGAAGTGTTGAGTTGGCCACGTAACAGAGAAAAGTAACTGTCCTGTTCATTGCCATGGATTTAAGAAGTCAGACTTGTAATAGGAGCTCTGCACAATATTTCTCTGAAATACCCCTCACGCTATTTTAACTGTAAATCTTCAGAAATCCTGTCTGCTTGCTAGTACTCTGGCAGATGTATGAGCATTTTTCCTATTCATAACTGCTTTGGAGTGCTTTTATGAAAATAAGTAATTATTGACTGCAAGAATAAAATTAGAAACTAAAAAGAACAAAGAGAAAATCTAATTTGCTCTCTTTTAAGTAAAGTGAAAGTGACATTCTTATGTGAAAATACCTTTTCTGAAATTTCATCTGAACAGCTGCCACATGATGTTAGCATAATAAAGTAATTTAGAGATCCTGCTTCTGACTGTTAAGCACTTTAATTTGCCATGTGTATGATGCTGCCCAGTGCAGAAATAGAGGACATGCCCATCAGCTAAACAGCCCTGCATTTTTTGTGCATCTCTACAGCATTTTAACATGCTGCTCAGGTGCTGGCACTTGCAAACCTGGCAAGTCAGCCCTCCCAGAAAGGGGCTGCATTGGGCAGCTGCTCCGAGTCCCCAAGGGAAGGGAAAGCAGAGCCCTGCAAGCAGGGCAGTAGTGAGGGGGTGCTGTCCTCTGTGAGGGTGCAGGGCATGCCCTGCCTCGGGTCCACCACTTCATGGCTCTCAGAGGTGCCAGAGCAGGGGCTAGCAGGAGTAGGATCTACTGTTTATAATATACTGCTGCTAGTAGGAGCATGTGGTAGCTAGTGGATGGGAAAAATAGTAAGCCCAGAAGTGATGTAGGAAATTATTCTTGCAGCAGATCTTGCTGCTGTTGAGTATCCCAGAGGGAGCTTACAAAGACTTTGGGAAGCTTTGTCTTTTTTAATGGGAATTTTGTAAATAACGTTGTTAATAACAATGCTGCTTCAGCTTATCGTTGTCTTGTTGAACTACCTTGGGTTAAGATGAAACTTTCACTTGGGCCAGCTAAGTCTTAGTTAGTCCATACAGGTATCTAGTTGTTTCCGCTCCTGGGTTGCCTTATGACACTTGGTAGATGACAAATCTGATCCGCTGTGTCTTGTGAAGAGTATAGCTTTTTTGTGATCTTGCCTTGGGATGAGGAAGTTGGGTTTTTCTGAGGGCCTGACTTTGTTCTGTCTTGTATCATTATAATTTGGTGGCCGTCAGTGTGCCCATTTAACTTGTTCTGCATAGAGATAATATGTACTCAAAGCACCAGAAGACTGGAACCACAAAACCTGAGCTATTTAGGTAGAGGTGATGGATCTTCATGTCTTTACTGAAAGAAAAAAAAGAGAAAAGGAATTTTTTAAGTAGTGACATGTCCTAAGGGTTTCTCCATGAGGTGATTTAGGGATTGTTTTCACCAGCATTGTTTGCACTATTCACCAGGTTTCTGTTATTGGTATAATACACTACTTTTTTCTGTATGGCACCTTACATGAATTTTGAGGCAATGAAGCCACCTGACTTTATGTAATATAAAATATTTCCTTAGTTGCAGTAGTGACTAATATTCTGGAAGCATTTATGTAACTTTTAAAAAGTTATACTTAAGCCACGTGAAAGTCTGCCTCATGTTAAGCAGTTGGTGCAGAAGTCACCTGCTGTCGCCTTTTATGATATTTACCATTCGAAATGGGAGAAGCAAGAGAAGTCACACCGTAGCCATCAGTGCTGCAGTTTTGCCAGCGCGTTATCGCAGGAAGAGCAGGGAACATGATGGTGTTGTTCTGTCAGGTACCTGAGCACACAGGAGCTATAGGGTGGGTGTTAGACGGTATTGTGTTTCATGGCTTTTTTTTAATTTACGTCTTTGCCATGGCATCTGTTGCATGGTGTTCCTCAAGTTACTCTTCTTACATTTTAGTAAGACTTTAGTCAGACTTGAGTAAGGTAAAGAGGAAGATCTCTAGCAGTCTGTTTTACTGGTCATGCTTACATTGTCTTTGTGTAATTTAAAAAAAAATATATCTTAAAATTTTGCCTATGCACTCTGTGCTGAAATACATCAAAGTGAGGAAGTTTATTCTCCGAGACTTCCTTGTTAGTGTGATATTTAAGAACCTGAGAGGGGATGATCCCAGGAAATTAAGCTGTTGTAATTGCCCTGCGATACGATCTTGTGTTGAAATGGTGTCTTTCCTCTCGGTGAAACCTTATGAGCTATTGCACAGCATGGGGGTTTTTATAAAACACACAGATTGGAAGTTCACAGCTCTGTAAAATATACTTGAGTTACAGTGAGAAGGTTTATTCCCCTTGCAGCTAATAAAATTGTCATCATTTCAAGGACACCGCTCTAGTCCCCTTAGGAAAAGCTCAAAGCTGATACTTGTATTGGGCATGATGGAGGACAAACAGGTGGATAATGGGGAACGTCACAGCAGGGTGACAGTGAGAAAGGAGAGCTAATACACGGCAATAATTACATATTAATTAGGGAGAAGAGGAGGAAGGCATGTAGATGAGGAATGTAAATGCTGTGGAAGAGGCTGTGACTGAGAGGAAGGGAAAACGTGGGGGAGCTGATGGCTGCTGGGTCTTGGTGGTGTCCCCAGGGTGGCTTGCCGGAGGAGAGGGCAGTTGTGGGAGGAGCCCGCGGAGCTGCGTTGCTGTGGTGTGTGAGGTGCTGCTCACCTTATCCACCCTGTCTGGATGCAGTGCTGCAGAGGTGGGGAGAGCCCCAGTCCTGCTGGCAACGTCACAGCTGGTTCCTGTCGGCGATGAGGGGGTCGTCTACTGGTGAAGCATCTGTCTGTACCTGGGGACTGTGTCACGGGGCTGGAGGCCCTGCAGCCCGGCTCTTCACCAGTCGGCAGCAGGGCTGCTGAAGCCAGCTGTCAGCTTCCTGCCTGTCACCGCAGAAAGGGGACTTAACAAAATGAAATTAGTATCACAGCAGTAACACCGCACACACCACACGATAAATCAATTAATTTCACACGCCCCAGAAATATACTGGAAATTCTCACTACCTCACTTAATTTGATTTTATTTGGAAAATATATTGAAGTGGATAGAGGGTGACTGAGAAACAGCATTGCGAATAGACTGTTGCAAATGATCACATTACCGCAGCCTAATGAGTTAAGGCAATGGGAATGGGCATAAGCTGCTACTTGGGTGGTTTTAACTGATGTGTTCTCTAATTGCAATAGGGTAGAAATGAGTGCCTTGTCAGCTGCCGTTGTGCATCAGATGAGTAATAAATTAAGTTACAGAAAGCCAGTGTTTTGGGGGCATCTGCCAGTTCATATGCTTTTCTTAAGGTCTGCTACTATATAATGGTGCTAGTGTTTACCATAATGTCTGATACTTCTGTTTTAAAAATGAGTAGCAGAGAGGATGTGGATACTCTGCATGGAAATACGGACTTTTGCACCAATGCTTGGGACACAGTCAGGTTCTTAGTAAGTTCAGTGAGTCCCTGAGAACGCGTGAGAAGCAGCTTAGACCAGCGCTCGTAGGCATTACTGTGCAGCTGTAAGTGGCGTTAAGGCAGGAATTCATACAGCCAAGAAGGTGGGGTAAGCATGAAAATGTGATGGAGGTGGAAACAACTTTTGCCCTTCTGTTGCTTTTGTGGAAAGAAAGAAATTGGGGAAAAATACTAGCCACCTTTATCTGAAGGATTGCGAGGCTTTTACAAACATGTATTTGTTGTCTTTCATTTGGGAAGAGTGTTAATCTGTTCCACCCCGTGTGTAATAACAATTCTGGGGGGGCTGTGTGCTTGCAGACCTACATTGGTTCGATCGTTGCCTCTGTGAACCCTTACAAGAGCATCCCGGGACTGTATGACCGCGCCGCCGTGGAGCGATACAGCAAGCACCACATGGGAGAGATTCCACCTCATATCTTCGCTGTGGCCAACGAGTGCTACCGCTGCCTTTGGAAGCGCCACGACAACCAGTGCATCCTCATCAGGTAAATGGTGGCTGCTGCTGCTCTGATTATCCCTGCTGGTGAGCCTCCCCAGGTGATTTAGGAACATGGATTTGGCTGCGTGGAGAGAAGAACTCCAAAAGAAAGCAGGCTTTTAAACCATCAGAGTTTTGGGAGAGAGTTTTTTACAATGAGGATGGTGAAACACTGGAGCAGGTTGCCCAGAGACGTTGTAGAAGCCTCATCCCTGAAAACATTCAAGGTCAGGCTGGACGGGGCTCTGAGCAACCTGATCTAGTTGAAGATGTCTCTGCTCACTGCAGGGGGTTTGGACTGGATGACCTTTAAAGGTCCCTTCCAACCCAAACCATTCTATGATTCTGAATTTGATCTGTGTTGTTCTGTGGGCCTCTAACAAGATGTTGATTTTTCTTGTGCATCTTATGATTTCATTTAGTGAAAAAAAATCTGTTGTATTTTTTGTGCATTTTTTGCACTCACCCATCTGATTTTATCCTAAGTGCTTTCCCCACCAGATTAAACATCCCTGTGCAGCTCAGTGGTTTGTCACCACTAGATCCCGAACCCTGTATCGAGAGGAAAAGCAGAAATAACCCACCAGTTTTGACAAACATGGTAAATGAGAATAGCAAGAGAGAAAAACTTCCACACTTCAGCTACTTAATTCTACCTGATAAATCTTCCTTGCTTAATCTTGTTGTGCTTTAATGGTGATTTAATAGCTTCCTGTTTGATCCATGGTGTCACTGGTATTCAGGATCTCGCTGCTGCTGAGCTTAGGTTGAGAGCAGTTGGTATTTCAATAGCTTTTCACTGCTCTCAGCTCCTCCTTCCTTCTTGCTCCAGAAGAGCCAAAAATGCAGCCAGCTCTTTTCCCTTTCCCCTGCCTGCCAGCTCAGCTGTGCTGGTTCACACATGGGCAGGGAGAACCAAAGCTTTGCCCGCCGGATTGGGAGGAGCAGCTTGGTGGTGATGGCAGCGTGGCACCAGCTGTCAGGCTCCGAGCCAGGGGTGATGCTCGGGGTGGTGGGGTGAGAAAGCTTATGTTTCCTCTCCCTCTCCTCTCTCCCTTTTGCAGTGTTTTTGTGATTAAACCTGTGTGCTCTCACCTTCCTGCAGCCTATCAGCACAAGTTAAATGTGGAGAGCTCTTCAGGGACAAGGTGACGTGGTTTTGACTGTGTCCTGACCTCCACAGCAGCCCTTTTGACAGCCATGGCACCCTGGCATGGGGCAGCCAGTGGGGCAGAGAGGGGATGAGGCTGAGTGAGAGCAGCACCTTTTGCAACAGGCAGCTTCTACTGGCATTTAAGATTACAGGCCAATTTGCAAGGCTTCCTGGAGAAGAGGAGGATTCAGCGCATATAGTTCAGCACCCAAGCTGTTGTTAGAAACGTGGATCAGATGAAACACAGGTAGATCTGGTTCCAACTTTCTGCAAGCTCTCTAGTTGCAGTCCCCACCTGCCTTTGCCTATAGGTGGGTTCTGCCTGGCAATGGCACACAGAGGGGACTGTGTGTGTTTTTCAGCTTTCTTCAACTGTATTTCCCCCCCACCCTTTTTAAAAAAAAAAAATAAAAAAAATTACTCAGTACGCGGTGCTGTGCATAGAAAGCTGAGTCCAGATGAGACTCCACGAAAAAGTGAAACGCACAGACACCTTTGTCATCCAAAAATAGCTAGCCTGGAGTAATGATTTTCTGGAGTAAGGACAGGTAGTTACTTGTGAACAGCCCACATACCCCAATTTTGGGGACAAAAATAATTTCTGGTGCCTAGCAGGTGGCTATTGGTATTTTTTTAAATTCCATTCTGTACTGGCCCAAGTATTTACCTTTCCTTCCAGCTTCCAGTTCCCCACAAGCTGCCAAGAGAGAAGCAGGTTGTGTCCTAAAAAGGACATAAGCAGAAGTCTCTGATGTTCCACAGGAGTCTCCAGCAGTCCCTGCTCTGTGAACCATATGCCTTGGTACAGATAAGCCATCATATGGAGAAGTTTTGCATTAGCAGTCTCTCTTAAAATAGCTGACAAGCCATAATATGGAGAAGTTTTGCGTTAGCAGTCCCTTTTAAAATTACTTACTGTGGTCGTGGATAAAAACAATGATTTGTGTGTGTTCAGTGTTTCAGAAAAGTGCTGTAATACAACCTTATAAGGGTGTCTTATTGCTACAAAATATGAAGAAGCATGTAACTCAGAACAAAAAATAAAAAGTCAGGTCTACTTTACTGTTACCTGTTGTATCTGCGAAGGAATCAGGGCAGGATTTTTTAAAATTACTGAAGGTTATCAGTTGTCCTGATGACGTTTAGAATAGTCCCTGCCATACTTAGTTTGGGGCATCAGAAGTGCAGGTATAACAGTGTGCTTGTTAGTTGTGGGGCCCCCAACACAAGAAGGACATGGACCTACTGCAGTGAGTCCAGAGGAGGCCACGAGGTTGATCCGAGGGCTGGAGCAACTCTGCCATGAGGACAGGCTGAGAGATGTTCAGCTGTTCAGCCTGAAGAAGAGAAGGCTCCGGGGAGACCTTATAGCGGCCTTCCAGTGCCTGAAGGGGCTACAGGAAAGCTGGGGGGAACTTTTCACAAGGGCAGTCATTGGCAGAACAAGGGAAAATGGCTTTAAACTGGAAAAGGGTAGATTTAGATTAGATATTAGGAAGAAGTTCTTTCCTGTGAGGGTGGTCAGACACTGGAACAGGTTGCCCATGTGGATGCCCCCTCCCGGGAAGTGTTCAAGGCCAGGTTGGATGAGGCGCTGAGCAACCTGGTCTAGTGGCAGGTGTCCTTGCTCATGGCAGGGGGGGTTAGAACTAGATGATCTTTAAGGTCCCTTCCAACCCATGTCATTCTATGATCTGCAGCATCGTGGTCATTCCTGCATCTTTTACTGACTTAGAATTAGATGTTGCAGCAAGTCACTGTCAGACTTTCTTGGTTACTACTGGCATTTGGGGGAAAAAAAAAAAAAAAAAAAGCCCAGTGGTGCTCTGCAATGTCTGAATTCAGGCAGGTATTCTGGTCTTGTATTTAATGTAGGAGACGATAAAAAGGAAAATTTTGTTCCATCATGAAAACACAGTGAACAGTTGCATCCAGTTAAAATGAGTCAGTTGTTCATGTAGGCTTCACGGTCTGATACGCACTCTGCACCTGCTCTAACTTCAGGATCTAAAAACTCAGCACCAGGTTGTGACAGTCCCATGAAACAGGGGACCGAAGGTCTTCTCGTGATCCTCTGGGCGTGCAGTGCCCTCTGGTGGCATCCACAATTAGCTCAGCTGTGTTTTGGAGCTGCTTTCTTCTGGCACTGGGTTCAAAACCCATGAAAAAGCTTCTGTTGTTTTGAAATGCTTGCAGTATTTGGCTGGGCAGGGTAAGATGAGAGGAGTAAGACAAGAACCTGAATTAAAAACTGTCATCAGTAGCGACTCAAAATGTAATATAAATGCAAGATCATTTTTCCACTATAACCACCCAGACCAGAAGTGAAAAAGGAAGGAAGTGCAGAAGAGATTATATTAAATCAAGTCATCTAAAGATGCTTATTTATTGGTCTGCGTAATATAAATGCAAGACCATTTTTCCGGTATAACCACCCAGACCAGAAGTGAAAAGGAAGGAAATGCAGAAGAGATTATATTAAATGAAGTCATCTAAAGATGCTTATTTATTGGTCTGTGTTACACAGGAGTATTTCACTTCATTATAATGCTCCATAAAAATGACTTAGCAGCCTAAAATGTCAACAGTATGGCACACTGAAAAACCTGTGCACAACCTGTGCATTACAATATTTACACAGTTGTGAAATTGTATTTTTGCTTTCCTGGGCTAAAAATTGCTTGTCTGGTTATTGAACTAGGATTTTCATGTAGACAAAAATGTCTGCATCAATAAATGCTCCGTTTTGGGTTGATCTGAACCTTGCTGCAGAGTCCAGTTTCATTTAAAACAAGGGGGGAGAAACCTTCCACAGTTAAATTTGATGCTACAACAGATGTGTTTAAAAAAAAAAAAAATCATCTTCTGATTTTTCAGCTGGGTGCCTTGGCAGGAGCACAGAGGAAGTCCATCTTACTTGAGGAATAGCCAAACATCTTATCCTGATGTAGGGAAGGGACTGAATTCCCCCATGATTAGCTGATGTTCATAAATTGGGACCCAGTTGAAACCTCCACCCCTTTATTGTAGGAATAAAAAAATCTCTTTAGGCATTTTTTGTATTGCTGCTGTGTTTAAGGTGGTCTAGTCCATGCACAAGCAGACACGTGCTCTTCTCTCAGATACAATAGCAGCTGTTCCACTTTAAAGCAGTTGAAAAGAAGTGTAGAGCAGTTGAAGGAGCAGCAACAGTCACCCTGAATTATATTCAAATCGGTGCTGCAAGTGGGAAATCACAGTTTGACACCAGTTTGTTCTCTGATATCATCTGGTGGCCTGATGTTTTTGTTGTTGTTCAGCTTGAAAATCAATGTGAACTAAGTTACTCTTTGGATGAGACTCAGACTTGTGATGGGAAGATGTTGTTATCAGACTGACACACCAAAATTCACATGTATATTGAAGAACTGTGTTTGCTGAAGAGGCCTGTTTTCTCTGAGTGTATCAGTCTTTGGGGTATTAGAGCCAGCAGACAGAACTGAGAAGTGATTTAGGGTAGTGTTTCTACCGCCACACTCATGTTAAGTCCTTCAGAATGAGGAGTCTCTCTCGGTAACGCCTGTTTCCACTGCAGCAGTCTGGAGCCCAGACTGCTGTGCCCTTAGCAAGATGCCCTGTGTAGAACAAGTCATGGAGAAAGTCTAAAGATCTCCTAAGTGGGGGTCTTGTGGGTTGCTGCCACACTTAATAAATTCACAATACTGAATGTAGTGATGTGGAACAAGCTGGGCACTTAAACTCACAGGGTGGAAAGGTTGGCTGTGCACTAAAAAATTCACCCTTTTACTGACCTTGGCAACTTCATGTAGGCATAGGCTTTCTGAGGAGTCTGAAAGATTGATCCCACTTAACCT